GAGGAGAGAGGAGGGGAGAGGACGGGTCTGGAGAGAAGGAGGAGGGGAAAGGGGAGGGGAGGGGGGTAGGCACCTTGCCCCGAGGGGGGGCACTTCCGGGCATCCTCACGTGACAAACAGGAGCCATCAGAGAAGACCTGGAAACACAGGTCACGTGGTGGTTTGTGTTACCTCTTGATTTTGCTAACTAATATACAAAGCGCCCCTTCGCTTTTTCCTCCTATAAATCTATGCACTAAAATTCCATGGTACGTTTGACTTCTTAGTTTTCCCAAGAGCCCAGCCAGTGCCCCCAAGGCTTCCAGCAGGAGACAGAAGCCTTTCCTACAAAGAGCGGGGAGCGGAGGCCCCCAGCCCAGTCCGTGCTCATACCCACGAGTAACCCGCATCCCCAGTCACAGCTGACAGTGCGTCCCTGGCAGCGTCACACCCCAAGGACGCCCGGGTGCCGATGGCCTCAAGGGGTCACCAGTAGGCACCACCTCCACCTCAGGACATGGTGGGGAGCGGGAGCCACAGGCCCTTGACAGGCACGTGTCATTTTCATGCACTTGACATGGGCTTTATTACCCTCATTTTCCAACAGAGGAGACAGTTTTCCTGGGAGCTGTGGCTGGTCAGCCGCAGTCCCCTGCACGTCTGTCTGTCCTGGGTCCAGGAGCCGGGAGCTTCCACTGCGCAGCTTGGCTTCAGACCACCTTTCTGTACCGCCAGGGTTCGGGCCGGGGTCCCCCTCCCTGCAGGCGGGAAGTGCCCGACACAGGCAGCAGCGGATTGGAGATGCAGCCTGGGAAGCTGCAGGCAGCGGGCACTGACAGCGCAGGGCTGGGCTGAGGGCTCGGGAGGCTTCTGGATGTGCGACTTCTCTGGTCCTTTGAGACCAGGAAAGGTGGACCCAGCCCCCGACAGTACCCTTCTTACACCCTGACTGCCGACTTCTTCCCTCCCTCTCTCCCTCCCTCCCTTCCTCCTTCCTTCCTCCTGCCTCCTTCCCTCTTCCTTCCTTCCTTCTCCTTCCTTCTTTCCTCTGCCGGAAGAAGCAGGCAGAGCATGCTTCTTCATAGGACAGGAACAAGTCAGTTCAGCTCTTTCCCTCCCCTTTGGAAGCTTCCTGGAAGCCTCAGTCTCGTACTTAGGGAGTCTCAGATGCGATGCGCTGCCCCTGGTCACGTGGAGGCGCTCCCCTGTCGTCCTTCAGTGCCAAGTGCTGGCAGGGGCATGCCACTCTCTGCGGCTGCCTTCCCAGGAAGCTCCACCGCGGGGAGGATTCAGATTTTTGTGCTGGCGTAGACTGAGTCCTGGTGGTAAAAGCTAAAAAGCATAGCACGATTTCCCTGAACCCAGCACTTCCTCGGCTACAGAATGCGGTAACAGCTCCCTGCATGATTAGTTTAAGGATCTCAGAAAGTGAGGTCCGTAAAGCTACCAGCCAGCATAACTCTTGAGAAAATACTTTTAATTTCAAGCTCAGATTTGTTGCTGCTGCTGTTTTTGTTTTGACACAAGGCCTCTGTATGTGGTTAGGGGCGGCTGTGAACTCAGAAGCCCAGGCTGGCCTTGGTCCTGCAGGGATCCTCTTGCCTCAGCTTCCGGAGTGCTGGGATTAGACCACGCCTTCTCTCCTACTGTGGGCGAAAGCCATGAAGTCACCCTGGCCATGCTGACGCTGAGGTCTCTCAAGGGCCTCTCCCAAAGTAGTCCTGGAGTTCTGGTCTGCTGTGGAATCCGGGATCCTGGCCGCGGCAGCGTGGGCACGGTTGGCTTGGCTCTGACGGAACTGCGGTACCGCGAGGTCACTCAACTAACCTGCCTCGGTGGCAACTGTCCGAGCAGGCCGCGTTGGCCCTGCTGCCCCGCCCTGGAGCCCGCGCACCAGCCCCGGTGCCAGCCGTGGGAAAACAGGCCCCTTACGCTGGACAGGAAGCACGGGTGGCGGCGCCCGCAGGCGGCACAGACCCAGCCCGGCGCCCCG